AAGTGCACTTGTCACTGTGCAATGCAACGACGAAGAACGTTGATCCTAGTTCTTAAATCGAATATGGCCTCCTATGAATTCAATGAAATAGACCGAGTGTTAGTGAAATGGCTAATTAGTAGGTTAACTCAAAAAGTTTCTACCTTGAAGATTGACTTCTAGTTTGTCACAATTAAGTTATTTGCGAGCGATCCGTTTGGGCTTGTGTTTGCTGTTGTACTCATGCTTCCAATGGTTTCGCGCAGGCGTTCATTATTGGGCCAGCCTTAAAGAAGCATTTTTTTCTATAGTTTCCACATGAAACGTTCATGGCTATTCCATGTCAAATAGGTTCGCTTCAGAGCGCTGACAGCCGGTATCATTTAAATGTCTCCAAGAATAAAAACGTGTAGTTGCTTTCTCAGAAACAACATCTACAAAAAGCTTGCTACGTGTCACAGGTAGAGCCTCAAATGTTACCTTCAGTACCCAACAGTGGGTATTGCGTAACATGTCTATACAGACGTCATATCATGATTATCTACTTTCCTTGTATATATATGTATATATAAATGATTATTGGCAAACCAAAGCCCGCTTAAAAGTTTCACACATGTCGGATTTGGTGAAAAATACCTACACGTAAACTAGATATCTGGGTCCGGGTTTTTCTTTATGGAAAAGCAGCCTTCATCTGTCGAAGGAAAAGTACTTGCTGAGGTGTATAGTACAATGGCTGTCGCTATAACGTGGGTAAATCATTGAACCGTTACACATAGTTTGGCTATTCGATTTCGCCTACTTTCGTCTATGTAGAGACATGTATAATTCTAGCAATTATCCTAACTCTTGTCTACCCGATAACAACAACGTTAACGTTTCAAACAAATTTGAATTAGCGTTTTTATGACTCTAAAGACCACGTGTAAGAGCAGGGGACCTTGCTGGCTAGACTTCCAGATAAAAGCGATCGCAAAGAGCATTTGTTCAGTCGACATTAAGAAAATCAGTAGCAAAAAATCGAAAACGATGCAAGATGCAGCGAGAAGTTTAATATCGTAATAACAAAAATACAAGTTTGTAACAAGTTCCTCACTGTGTCAGCGAACTGCAGAGTGCAACGTCATTGTGTCCACAACGAACCGCTTCTGAGGTCGGATTGAGTTAGCGTAGATCTAGTAGAACAGGCGAAAATCCCTGTGCATAAATGTACGCGCATCTCAAATAGATATAAAAAATAAGCTATTCTAAAGTTGGATAGGAAAAGCGTTTGGTTTTTGGATGAATTACCTTCTGACATTTTGAGTTAACACATTTACAGGCGCTCTGGCTAGAGATTCAACAAGTTCTATATAATTAGGCAGGTTAAACGTCCGAGCAAAGTAACGCTTTGGACCGTTATTTCCGTTGACAGCCCTACATTGCGTCAGCGGTATCATAGAAAAAAAGCCAATAACGTGAGCTATTTTAAAAGGAAAATGCTGTTTCAGGCGTAAATATGGGAAATATATGTTCATGCGTAACAAGTTATAAAGAAAAGGTTGAAATCGGACCGAACAGGAAATTATGAATATCTCACAAGGCTCAAGAGTAGGCATGGGTCCAGGCCGCGGCCGTGATAGAGGTGCTGCGAAAGAGCCTGCCAAACGAGTTACAGCAGTGATAGCAGCCAAAGGCAAGGGTATCGAATAGTGCTTCTTCTTCTTCTTAGCGCATTTAAAAATTACTTCTGTAGTAACTGTATCGACGCGCGGAACATTTTTAGGTAACCTTATTTTATTGAATTATATATATATATAAGCTTTAAAATTGAAGAACTTTTTCCTTTAACTGCACGCTGCTAGCCAATAAGATTTTCGATAACCAATAAAAAATAGATTCTTCTAGAAATTGTGAATGAAAACTCCAAGATAATGAGTTCATAGAGAATAACCGTCTTCTCAAAGATCAAAATTGAGTGGTAATTTTTTGTCCCAGAAGGCCACAATGTCGATGAAATTCATCAAATATTGTCGGAGGCACTAGGTAAGGAAATCGTAAGCAGAAGCACAATACGTGAACGGTACAAACGCTTCGAAAACAGGGATTGGAGTGTTGAAGACCAGATGTCGGGATCCGAAAGACTGCTATTAAGGCGGTGGGCACGTGAATTGACGATAATACCTGCAATGGGCATTGGAGGGGCATCATTTCTACTACTACTACAAAGTACTTGTCTTGGTCCTCAAGACCTTCATTGACCGTAAGCACGAACCGCCAGGCTTCATCACCATGTCTCAGTTATTTCCTAAATTCAGCAAAAAGGATATCCTACGTTGGCGTCAAGTCGCTTACTCCAGAATCCATGCGATCACGGGATTTCCCATATCCTCAAAAGGGCGATTAAGAGGAAACTAGATAGAGGGACGTGAATGGTGTGTATATGGCTGTCCAGAAGCTGACAGAGCGCTGGAATATGTGTATAAAAATAGAGGATATAATAAATATTAAAAAAACTCTAGCCAAAAATAATTTATAAAGGTCCCCTGGATTCACTTGTGATGATATATATATTACTTGTCGAACAGTATTCATGTACGCGTTGATTCTCTTCTCCGATGCAGTCATTTTTATGTATGGATAGCTTGTACCGTTGTTGAGAATTTACGGCGCAGGCTTCATCACCTATATTCATTACAACAAGTCAATAACCATACGACCAAATTCAGCACGCTCCTCAATCTTCCGTCAAATAACAATAATAATGATTATTACAGAAATAAACTCAGCGGATGAGGAGGAAACGCTAATGAAGGACGTTGATAGCTGCTGCGGTTGGTAGCAGCGACGTCATTGCTGACGTTAACGATGTTTTTTTTCTTAGCGCCGCTTTTTTTGAATTCGACCCGCCGTCTGCCTGTCCTTTATCGTTTGTTTTCTTTACTAGCCCCTTATAAGCATCGCTTGATCGCATAACCTCCGCTGTGACCGTCACTTCGACTTCATCTGCTTTGGCATCTGCTACTCTATCCGATTTAACAGAAGTATTATCTACATCGTCACGTAGATGACACCAACCAATCTCAAATGGCGCGAGATTATATAATAATGTGTATATTTACCGCTGTTCGTTAGAGGAAAAGAATATCCGTTTATATATAAATAGATACACAGCACACCTACATGTGCTTATATGTACAACGACAAACACTTGGTGTCTCAAGCCTTTGCCACCCATATTGAGAATAAATGCACCTACCCTTTTTGATAGGGAAGGAGACCGTGAGAGAGAATTCTACCAAAGATAGCGTTTAGTACACTGCCCTTGATAGAATTTAAAATAGCACATTTCTGATGGATGCATTTGCTGAACGATCTTAAGAACAAATTTAAGGTATAGCCTCGGGAGCGCAGGAAGGCGAGCGCTTTAACGGGGGAAGTTGATCACAACGATGCGTAAGCGGATCACTAGCAAACAATCAGTCTAGATACATCCCATAACAACAACGGCGTCGATAGCAGCAAGCGAATAGAAGTGGTTCCTATCAGACACTTACACAGCACAGGCGGTAGCAGCACCAGCGGCAATGAACGTTGATGATTTACGAGCGGTTAGCTCAATTTTTTTTATAATTAAAATATTTCTTCATTAAGGTGGCTGCTGAAATGAAGGGTAGTAGTCGTTGGGGTTATTGGTCTTGTGCTCATCGCTGTTGGTAAAGAGGATAACCACAGGACACTGTGGATTCAAGTATATTTTTGATAGCATCAACCCGACTGAGCGTATACTTCTCTTCACCAAAGTAACCGTATATGCTGTTTGTATCTTTGTCCTAGATATGGGAGAAGAACGTGAATACGTTTTCTACGCATGGAACGTATGAATACTGTAAGCGCTTTGATAAACAATGCGTCAAAGCAAAAGTTAACTAATTGCTCGTCTAGAAACTTCAGAATCGTAAGCTGCGCATTTATAAACATTAATAAGTTAGTCATTTTATTTGCTACGGGGACTCTATTATAAATTCATCCACATGGAGCTATATAACAGAATTTCGAGCTATATTTAGTTTGATGATAACGTTTTCCACCTAGGCAGCTAACGTGAATATGGTGGATATCTTTTGGTATAGACAGGCCTCGTTCATTCGCTGTAACACGGTACGACTACAAATGGGTGATATGCTGGTAGCATCCGTCTGGTGATGGAAGCAGTCGGGCATTCTAATCCAATCCGCTTCCCCGTAACGGCACCCCCACCAGTTATGGAAGAGAATAATGGCCAAGCTGATGCTAATGATGATCCCAAAGTCCGTCTCCCTTTCGCGGGGCAGACTCCCTCTCTTTTTGCCAGCAGAGGGCGTCACGCTCGGGTAACGTCTGACTCAGCGCCGAATACGCGAACGACCCGCGCTCAGGGGAGCCATGCCTGACAGCTGGCACAGGGAGACCAGTTTCGAGCGCAACTAGTACGCTACATGGCATAGACTAGCCACTAGCAAGCAGAAACTCAAGGTACATAGACAAGCAAGGCGATAGCGTGTGTGCCTAGGATCGAGAGCAAAGAGCCCTGCATCCCGGATCAAAAGCTGGCTGGCTGACTGGGTGGTTGGCTGGAAGTTTCCACGGCCAGTCCCAGCTAGAGCGGTGGTGCTTCAGGAGTCTCTCCGCGAAGCCAAGCCGACCTCATTCGGCGTACTCACTATTATAGTCATAGGGCTATAATAGCGGGTACGACGAATAGATCTATGACTCGTTGCGCTGCGCACCACTGCTTCGCGCAGCGTTAAAGGAAGCCGAGAGGCCTACGAATACAGTAGGACATGATGGCATACCTTCAAGAAGGCTGCTACCTGCCACCATGGCGAACAAAGGTGCATATTGCACAGTATGTTCATATCAGCGCAAGTATACGCGCAGTGAGTGCAGGATAAAGCTATATATACCTCATTGTCTGACCCTACAGTCGACGACTTCATCTTAGTAAAGCGTAAGAAGGCCCCAGTGGAGCGATACATTGCTTTAAGCATGAGATGGCACAATCCGAATGGATGCCGCAGTACTACGCGGGTAACCAGCACCACGAAGTAACTGGGGAGGCAAAATCCTCGATATGGGCGAGACTTGGGATACTCAGAGTGACGTGCTAAACGATCCTTGACTAGGCCAGATTTACGGTGTGGACTTGGGAAAATTGGAGGTAAGGAAACGCAGACCATAGCCACCTGTACGATCATTCGTAGACTCCAAAAACTAAAATCAAACATCGACTTGATAGCAGTCATATGTTTGGTTTACTACGACACTTTTAGAAGTTCAGCTAGTTACAGGTGGATACTTCATTCTTATTTGGACATTCTACATGTCTTTATTATAAAATATAAAAGGCGGTTCCAAATTACCATAATTATCTTTCTGATACTTCTAACAAACGCAGAAAAATACTTCTCATTAAAAGGCTATCCATTATGCAGCACACTGGTAAAAGCAAGCTTGTCCTGTTTTCGTATACTGGTCGCAAATGTAGTGACCAATGTACTAGATGTATAATAGTACACTTGTTAGCCCGCCCATGAAGCAATCGTTCAATTAGATACATATTGCCCCTCGTTGCCCTTGTTCCTAGGTAATGAGATTCGGGTAATAACTTAGGTCAATTTTACACACTGTTTTGTTCCGTAGTTGGCTACTGTTTATTGTTAACCCAGTTTTGCCGATGGCGGCTGCGCGCACGTATAAATTGACAGGGATAATTTTCAAGAGTACTACGCCGTCTTCGGTTTCTTTTGCGGTATTTTTTTCTTCTACATTTGGTATCCGTGTCAGGTTCGTGTATGTACTCGGCGAATCATGACAGAACGATACGACGTCCGCATATGGATCTTTTCAAGAGACTATTTTTCTTCCGTGATGTTTTGTTACTTGTTGTCAGTTCTTATTTCTTGATTTCTCGTTTGGTCGACCATTAATTTGGATCCCTGCATGACTCCGCCGTCGCTTCATTTGATTGGTCCAACGTCCGCAGACCCGCAACCGCTAGAACTGGGGGGCATGCTCGTCGTCTCGTTAGCTTCCCAGCTGTAAAAAAGATTTTCTAATACGTGGCACCTCAGTCTGTCCGCTCACAAGCAGAAGCAGCGGTCGGCGGCCACAGCAATGGTGATGATGATTATGTTTAGCCCTCGTCAGAAAGCTAATCGTTGATCTGCAGTGGCGGCTGTTAACGGCCATCGCGACGCTGTGCAAATATTGTATAGCACGACAACATAAATCGGTGAAACGACGATGGAAGCCACGGGGGACATTTGAGAAGACCGAAGATCTCGAAAAGAAAAAGAGCAGGGAATGGAAGAAGAAAACGATCAACGGAATGAATAGCGAAAAACAAATAAGCTGTTTCTGCTCGCTACGGACACGCTTATTGTTGTCGCTCAATAAAAGCAATCATCTTTAAATTTTTAAATAGAAAACAATATATATATTTAGCGTAAGATTATATAGTCGTCTTGGTGACGTTGTCATAGGTGTCATTTATTACTCACTGGGTTAATAATCTCTGTAAAGGTCATCGTCATCATATGCACATGTTAACACGTGCGCTGGATGAATGCATTAGAAGCCTTTATTTTATACGATCTACAACAACGACTTCGAACCCCAAACATTAAACACCGTAACTATTTAAAGGAGACATTCTGTGGCAAATTGATGTCTTCATGTCTCCTATGCATTCTTGGGGTGCAGGCCGCTGAAGCTACCCGTTTGGCCGACTACAATATAATTACAACGAATTTACCTGTTTTTAGGCCTTTTTATGTATCAGAGATCTTTGAGCCATTGTGATCGTTAGTGAAAAACTAAATTCTATGTCTCCTTTATTAGCCTCGTATTCTACATTATTTGCTCTTATACTATTATATCAACTCTGTGGCGTAAATATTCTGAGATTTACGAATCTACAGTATCTCTCTGTGTTGTTATTGAACATAGGACAATAAGGACTAGAAATATAGACTAACCTGTTTTGATCGCTGAAGGTAACTAGTAACTGTGATGTTCGTCGAATACGACAAGCGACTAGCCTTTGAGGCCATTATATCGGAACCGAGCGTTCGTTTTTAATGACTCCGCGGGCCATTGAATGATCATGACGGATTTGGCTTGCCGTTAACGGACCCCCGTCGAGTATCCAGATATAACCTTCGCCCTGGTTGTATGTGTAGCATATAAACACAGTTCGGCTTGTCTCTGTAAGCAAACCGCCTAGGGAGTGTCCTTTGACGCGCTGACGCGTATGTCGCCAGATTAAGCTGAAGGAATAGCTTACCTACCAGTCAGACCAAACTGAAATGAGCCTGATTCTGGTCCAGTGTCTACGTATCAGAATTGCATGATTTATTGCAACCTTTTTAATTTTTTTACTACGACCAATCCTGTTCATTTGAAACGTTTACGCAGGATCTCTTGAGTGATTTTTGAATACATTTCCCTGGATCTCCCATTTTACTATTATCATAGACTGTGTTACCGGAACAACTGTACGCTTTCGTTAGATCACAGAATAGAAAGACGTAATACTTAAAACACTCTGGGTTTAACTGATAGGTTACAACAGTAAATAGCTTCAGCGCATACCGACCATTTTTACTCCTATTAGATCCGTCTAACGTTCGTTCCGTTCTAGGCGAACAGGTCTTTTTTGCTGCATTTTAGTACCGCTACAATGTCTTCAATTTAGTCACAATCGATCAGCGAGCTATATTTGAGCTTGACAGACGGAGGTTACCCCCCTTACCAAATGGGTAAACATTTCACCAACGTAAGAACTCTACATATTTTTCTTCGAAAGTTAGAAAGCTCCCATAACGCGTCTCCATTGATCCTGAGTAAGACGATTAATAGATATTTGTATTTATAGGTGACCGCTAACAGGAAACGCTAACAAGACATTGCTGAAGCCGGCAAAAAATAAAAACTAAGAAACACATTGTGATCACGAGGCTATTTTTGTTGAGCAACAAATGCTACAGACTCCTGTAAAATCAGAATTTTAGTAAGTACAACCAAGTGACTCATATTACTTAGTAAAATACACAAATATATACAAAATATAAAATTCTTAGAAAATTGAAGTAAGGTGGATCAAACATACATATACGATGTTTCTGCTGCTAGTTATCCAAAACGGAATTAATCTTCGCCGTACGTTATCTAAGAAGGAATATCAGAAAAATAAGGGAACACTATTATATATATATATATATATATATATTTTTTTTTTTTTTTTTCTTTTCGGGAAGATACATATATTTCGGGAAAGCAAGTTTATAGTAAACTTGCTTTCCCGAAATTATCTAAGCACAGCGCGTCATCCTGTAGCAGCAGATGAATCGTGCGACACGTAACTAGATATATGAAAAAACGATAGCAGAGATAAATAGAAATTTTTGGTAGGTACGACCTTGACATTGTCCACCTTAGCTATGGACTATGCTCATTGTCGATATTTGTCAAATATGCGGATACATAGCATCATTTTTATAACGGGGCCCAGGCAACCCGGGTCGCCGCCAGCGCTAACATATTGTGCCGTTTACATGATTTGTAACATTGTTACGATTGACTTGGAGTAACCATCGACGTTGATTATGATGCGCTCTGGCTACGCGTAGCTATATATTACCTGTAATTTCTATTTAGGTACTACTCTTCTGTCGGTTTGAATGAAAGCTTCTTATGGAGTTCTGTTTGTGAATGTGACGTCGGACTGATGCACGAATGATCTAGTAAATTACTATCCTTCTACTGTCTGCTGTTGGGTCTTTTCCAGGTCTTCTTCATCATTACAAGCAAACGATATCGAGTAGAAGAGCAGAAGTAAAGACGAAGCGGCAAAACTTACGTCGCGACAATAGCGCTACGCGATACTGAAGATTAGCACGGTTTCCACACTTGCGCTATCGTCATCAGTCAGTTCATATATGATCAGAAGTCGGCTGGAGACACTTGTTGTTTATGGTGGAAGCAGTACGAATGGGTAGCCGTTACTCAAATGACGCAGGCAGACGAAATTCGAAGCAGTCAAGTATTGATCTCTGCCAAAAAGAGGAAGTCTGCTTTTATATCATAGCAGTATTTGGATGAACTTCAGCGAAAGGCATCTGCATTAAGGCGAAAATTATTTGCCTTAAAATGTATTTTAAGCTTAAGTATTTTGATACCTGTATATTTAAGCAAACAAAAAAAATTGTTTTATATCGCTGCAATTAATTAATACGTAGGTGATCCTTGATCTTGCCGCCTTTTAGGGGGCTCTGCGTTGTTAGAAATGAAAAATAAATAGAATATAGCACACGCACTTTATAATTGGTTTAATAATTCTACTGTATGTGCTACTAGAAACATTTTTTTTGTCTGTGGCCATTGTCCATAGCATAGACACGTTGAAGCGGCATAGTCCAAAATCAGACAACCAAGCTAACGGTATCTTTAAGCGGCACTGTTATTTCACACGTTTTTAATAATAATTTCACTACGGGAGAGCTCCAGCCCAAAATTATTGGCTCGGAATATTGTCATATTGACTATCGTTTGTCTTGGCAACTTTTGAAAGGATCGTTTTTGACGTCCGCCATTCTCGCTGTATTGCCCCCTCGGCAAACTAAGCTTTCGTCACAACTCTGGCCCGAACGGTTCCTCTTCAAACGAGAACACTTAGTGCGCGTGTCTATGTGTCGATTCGTATTCGCGCACAGTGCGATAGGGTAGCACTAATATTGGCTGTACCAGCAACTGCCAAGCATAGGCGGTATGTGGATATTGCTATTATCATCACTGCTATGGGTACGAGCACGCATACAACGCATCTATCACCGAAAGAGATCTGGACTGCTACCACTCAGGCAGGGAACTACGAGCGGAAGTAGCGGCCAGCTTATTCATCCCTACTTCACCTATCCCTCTCCTGAACGCCTCACCCCGTTCCCCCTTCAGGCCCCATATGCTCTTTTTACGAGCCTCCTCCTTTCACATCAGGTAATCATCATGCAACTAGCCCTCCACGGTAGCTCTTCTGCTTGTAGCACGCACGAATCCCCCACAGATCGGCCGCCAGCAGCAGCGTCCCGTTTTTCCTTACCCTGCTCCATACCCTCAATGGATGCCCCTGTATTCCCTGTCCCTAAACGTGTCGGGGGTAACAGCAGCAGCGCCCTGTTAAATATGAGCTGCCTCCTGGCGGGAAGCAGCACCTCACTTCAAACCACCTCAACACAAGGCTGCCAGAGTGGCGGTTGACCGCTACCGACGGACGGGCGGAAGAACAGAACTACCTCTCTGGTGCCAGGCTAGCAGTCAGAATGCGCCATGCACTTACTGAGCAGCGATGGCTGGCGCACTACCTACTAGATGGCATTCGTACGAGTTGCTTCTCACTCTCCCTGTTCCATCGACGGTGCCCAGGGAAGTAAAACAGCAGGCGGCGTGCGACCCTGTGTAGCGGTAAACTCGGTCCAAAGAAACGGCAGCAGTGAGCCTGGTGGAAGCAGCAGGACTAATCGTCGTCGCAGCAGCGGTGGCGCTATTAGTAATACTGGTTGGAGTGGCCACTGTGGGCTTTGAACCTATTTGATAGGACGTTTTGGTGGGAAAACATCCTGGTTGTCTGCTCGCCTAGTTGCCTGCAGATATAAGGTTGTTGTTGTGGTCGCTGGCGCTGTTGTTTTAATCGCAGCGCACTTCTTCTCCGAACGAAGAAGCGTAAAGCGAATATAAGACCAAGTTTGTCCTCTATCAAAATAAAATGGATGGCAAGCGAGAACGAGAGTTAAAGAAGCATTATCCGTACACTGGACCATATGCTTCATGCTTTCAATCGAAGGAACCGTGAGGTGCGCTGCCTGGTACATTACTGATATCATATAATAAAGCAGATGATTGAAGTACGAAAAAAACGTACCATCTCATTGTATTTATATATCATTGTAATAATAATGATTATTATTGTCTACAGCCTACGTCATGCAAAAATAGGTAATGATTAGATGGCATAGATGGACGTTTATCGAACGTAAATCGCGAGTGAAGATTTCCGGTCAGAAAGCCTAATCGATCAAATTCTATTTTTGAACGAACATGCGTTGATCTGAACCTAACTGAGAAACCTGAAAACGAACATACGGTAATAATTATTAATAAAATCGGCCTTATTTCACGCGCTCTACCTAAATACCCAACGTTAATAATTGTTGCCGAGTAACAGGGTAAATTTAGCATTAAACGACAGGCGTTACTATATGGCTAACTTCTAATAAGTTTATACTGTCCGTGACCGGCAGACAAGGTGAGGTTCATATTTAGACAGTTCTTCACAGTAATACTATATAGAACCGCAAAAATGACATCGTAGATTAGTGAATTTGGCCTTTTTCCAATTCCATATCGCGCAAATGAAGTTTTTAATACAAAATCTCTGTGTGGACGCTTCTTATATAATATGAAGAGAGCCTATCCAAAATCTAGTTTTCGTTAGTTATACAATACATTATATATCTTCATTTTTTCAAAAGTTCCAAAAAAAAAAGTAATATGGGCCAATGTAGGCGTTCCCTTGGAAACATGCCTATTCCGAAACATGTTGCAGCATGCCGAAATTAAAAAAAGGACCTAAAAGTGTCGTTTTGCAGGTGTTGGCACAAAGGAAAGCGATTAATTCCGTTGTATTTTTTTTCCATATACGTCCGTTTAGTCAACGTTTATTTAGTAGGAAAACAGCAACACTCGACCAGTATTCGCGATCTACCCATACGACTAGCTAATGAAGTAACTTCATAAATCTATATATATATGTATATATATATATATATATATATGTTTAACTAATACAAAAGTACTGTTTGCAACCTTACTTAATGCGATTTTGTTGTTGGTCAAATCAAGATGGTAAACGAGTTTTACCCTGGAGGTTAACAAATTAGGATAATATTTGCCTGAGGCCAGTGAAAAGACGCATTAAATATCCGCTGTTTTAAGGTCCTTCCAAAAATAAGTCGTTGCGTTATCGTTGTTTCCTGTTTTTCTCATATCCTTCCGTTGTTCTAATAACGGAACTTAACTTATCTAATAGATAGGTCAGAAAGTAGTTTCGTTTGTTTAGTCTACTCTAAATGCTACCTTCCTTTAAAAAGACAACTTTTTTTTAACTTACTTTACTCAAATAGGCCTTTTTTCGGATATCAAATGATTCTCTTTTGGCAAACAAAAGAACCGACCAATGATTGGGCATCTGACTTGTCTGCTTTCCAGACCAGACTGCATAAATCTAAGCAGATGCCATCTAATAAATATTCCCATTTGTCGTCTTTTTTTGGAGTTTTTGGAGCTACTTAATGTAATATGAAAACCTGAAACAAAATCATTTTGACCATTGACACCTGTCTGTCCATGATTCTATGTGATAAGTTCTACGACTGTTAAGTGATCTGTGATTCATTGCGCGGTACAAAATTATCAGATGAACGGCATCCGCGTAGAGATCCTATTAACCCTATTAATCCTGCGCAGAAGATGCTCGTCAAGGTTCTTAGTTTTTCTGAAGTCGATCCGATAAAGGAATGATTTCCATATGTTTGATGCAGTCAACTACATGCCTATGTTCGAGCGGTCGACAGTTGCACTCTGATTGACTTCAAGTAAAACTCTTTTCTATGGGGCCTGTTTAAAACCGTATAGAGATCTCTTACATTGGCTAGTTTGAATTTTAACAAAATAGAGCCATCTGTCTATCGTCAATTGTCTGTACAGGGCGTAAGTTGTCGGTCAGACCGAAATGTTTAGCCCTAGAACGCTGATACCAGTTCGGACCAATGTTTTCAAACGTAAACCGTTTTTGTCCAATTTTATGCACAATTTTTGCTGCTTTCATTGCACTTTTTCCAGCGAGAGAAAGTGAAGGGGTTAATGAGATAGAATTTTTCTGTCTTAACCTTAGCCTTACCATAGTGGTTATCGAATGATACTTCTGCTAATAAATCTAGTTAAAATAAAGAAAAGAGCGTAGCGAGCGCCAAACATTTGTAGGAAGAAGTAAGACAAACTTCGAGCCACAATGGCCACAAATACGCGCGGGTGCCTATGTTGAGAAGTTCACCTTGTGGCTTACCGAATCTATTTTTAAATATATTTGTAATGTCCTAAGTATAGATCACATTTAGTATTGGGGTCGATCGTATGACTTTATTTTCTGCGCAACTGGAGACCGCTACACCTTACCGTAAGCAACACGAGCCGACTAATAAGCAGATTTAATACATACATATTGAATTTGTATATGCTCGTTGCTATATTGGCATGTTAAAATCACAGAACTATAGCGTAAAAATGTAGATTTTTCATATTTTATATATATATATATATATATATATATATATATATATATATATATATATATATGGAGCTTCGGTGGTAGTAGCAATGCTGGGATCTGTGCTGTCACAAAAGTATTTGGATAAATGTTTACTTTTACCTTCTTATTCACGCTTCAATAACGAGGCATGTATGTTTGACGTCGGCCCAAACTGTGCCATAAAGTACTTTGGATTTAATTTGACCTTAAGGTTTCATAGGCCTTTTAGGAAGATGCTTGCTTCGAAATGAGGTGAGAATACCTGCATGAGAAACAATCTCCTGATAGAAGGCATTTTCGCCCGGTCGACTGTGAAGGGAATTCTAACGACCTAAAACCTACATATAGTACGCAAGTTTATTTTCTGTAAGTATTATAAAAAAGTAGCCGACAATAGTTGTCAGAATGGTGTCGACGAGAAGGCAGCGTGATGATGCCCCGAAGTGTTCAGTCATGCCCATGTTACTACCTCACAAACATGTTTGATACATTTGACCGGCTTCACGATTGTTGTTCTAAAACCTTTTCCTTATTTTGACACACTAAGTTGTGTTAAATTTGTGTACGTTAAGTTACTTTGTAAACTGCGAAGAACGCTGCTAAAAGTTTTCAGGCGATTTTTAGATGTTTCGTAGTAATAGGATTTGATCTGTATATTGTCTTTTATAAAAATACTTGACAGAATATGAAGGTGAAAACGCGTGATCAAAGATGTTGTACTGGATCGTATAGATCGGTACGACGTTCCCCGAAATAACCTCTTCTCCACCCGGATATAAGTTGTACGTGCAAGTGTATGAATGGGTCAGCAATCGGGTTAACTAATACGAAGATTTTACTAGTTCGATGTTCGGGTTCCTTATAATGCTCACCTCGCCTCTTAAAACAGCCACGACGCTTGTTTTATATAAAAATAAAATACTGTATACATGGAGCAAACCATTTTGCAAAGAAGTAACCCATATTTTTCCCCTCAATTGAATAGTAACAACCAGCTAACCTTCTAATCGAGCCCATTGCTCTCCAGATATGACTCAATCAATAAGATAGTATTTTTAACTTAGCAAATCAGTTAAGATAAAAACATTTCATAAATAGTAATAGATTAAACTTGGCGAGCGCTGCTGCCTATGGGATACCGTTTCTGGACTATTAAAGGCTACACGATTCACGACGAAGTTCTATAGCCTGCCGGGTCAGTGTCTTGCTTGCCTTCTAGCTGACAGCTTTTTCCGTCATTTTGTCGAATTCTCACAAATCTTATTAACGCCCAGTTTTTTGTAATGTACCCGAAACGTACGTCGAGCAGCTCATTACATCTGTGTATAAAGAAATGTAAATATCTAGTCCTATCGATATGGATAGGCTCATCATGATCTCGGTATCAATGTGACAGCTTCAAGCGATCAGAGTGTTGACTGAGACTGATCGCGCCCCATAATGACTAACCCCCATAGAACAGAGATAGAAACATTTAGAAAAGGTATGTACACTGAATACATGTTCTCATCTGTTAATAACAACTGTATGTATTAAATTCCTTTCCTTTTTTCTTCATTCCATGGTCCAAGTATATCAAGACAATGTATTTAGGTATGGTACGAGGTAAATGTCCACTGTTGTCCTAGTGCTTATTGGATTTTTGTAAAATATGTTCGGTATAAATCGATTGTGCTAAGCCTCTAACAAAAGCACGGATACCTTTTAAAGAGAATAATTGCAGCTATATCCGAGATATAGTCACGCCTTTTTCACGGGCTTTTGTTCGTTCGAAAAATGCCCTCGGTGTCAGCATGCTCACGTGACATCTGATCATTCTGTTCATGGCTATTAGAAGTTGGGAATTCATCACTGGTCGTATATCTGTAGAACATAAGTAAGGGTTCTGTAAAGACAGTCGACTTAAGTATCAGCTGGGCTACCATATGTAGCTTTGTCTAGGTTTCAATACGCTTCGAGGATGCTATCACCATCATCGTTTATGTATACTCGTTGTTTGGCAACTAGTATATACAACTGTAGCAACAATAACATGAGATAAAGTGTGAAATGATACGAGAATTTCTAGAGCATTTTAGAATTCACGCTGCTTTTTATTAGAAATAGCTAGTAGTGCAACAAACTGTTCCCAGCCCAGATCCCTGGACCTTAATCGTAACATGAATATTTGAAGTGTGATCCTTTAACCTAATCTAGTTTCCTAGGTTATCTAATTTGAAGTAACACAAAAACCTATTAATGATTGCTATGCAACGTGGCTAATTTCAAAGTGCCACACAATCAGCCCAGACTAGTGTGACACCATCTTTCGTCTCGCTGAGGTGATCAATGGATCCGTCTTTCGACTACTGCCTTTTTTTGATCCTGGGTATTTCCTCTTTGTTCAATCGTGCCGCAGTTCACGGATTTTTTTGGCGGTAAGTCGAGCGCTTACGACTCTGGAAAACTGTTTTAGAACACAGCATAATCGAGTATAATTTTTCGATCTCGGAAGAGCAGCTTGCTCAGACTCAGATAGTAAGCTCAGCAGATTTCTAGAAACTGGAGCATAATTACGTTTCGACGTTTGAAGTATTTCCGTTTCCGACTTCAACACGGAAGCCGGATGATGTTCACTGTAGCTCAATGTAGTGGCCGATAAGTAGATTTAGGCAGCAGTTGTGAGATGGCTGCCTTTGTTTGATGTTAGCTTATTCCGCTTTCTGTGCGTCAGAGGCCAGCTCGTTGCGATTTTCTATCGTCACGCGTTGCTTCTCCAGTGTTCCTGTCTTTAAGTCTATCCGCCTGCTCTGTACTTTCACCATCACGCCAACTGTATGTCCGATGCCGGCTCTGATCGAAGCCGCTACGGAGACAACGACCGATAGCGGCATCTAAAATTTGACGAAGAATCCCAACTCGCTGTGTCGTTCTCGGAGATAGAATGCGTATGAGCGAGCAGATAGCAGCGATACAGTGAGGTGCAGCAGTGCTCAGAGTGAGCGGTTGCGCCATTACAACTTCACAGTCACTGGCGTTTCGCAGAGAACAGAGAACTGACGGCCGTGGGCGGCTCTCTACGGAAGATCGAAAAGAGGCGTTGGGTAGTCCGGGGCTAACCTCTTCTCTAAACTACAATCATATGGAGACTGTGAAAAAGCGAACCCTCCAGTCGAATGTCTCACCTCACCGCAATCATCGCTCAGAGCCCTGCAATAGCTAGTTGCTCCCTCACAATGGAAATACGGTTAGATCTCAGACAGATAAGGTGATAAGATCTTTGGCTTAGTTTCCCTAACAACAGCAATAGTAGCAGAGCTGTTCTCACATCTGTTGCTGCGATGTAAAATGGATGATTCACAGCGACGACAGATTTTTGGACGCTACTCAGATTGCAGGATTCATACGAATCGGATCTTATCAATGGGGTTTTTGTGAAAAAAATTATGTTAGTTAACGTTGCCAAAACAATCTGGATGACACACCTTCATCGATTAGAATGTATGCGCTTAGTTAATTTAATACGATGTCAATAGACTGACGTAATAGGAATATTTATAATTTACTGATAAAATTTTCTAGTTGCGCCTTCACTTCTCGGAGCCTTCTTCGTAGCCTACTTCAATACCTGCAAATTTCTATAACGGTTTAATATTCTTACTATCCCAGAGGCGTTTTATATCAGCTGGTCTCGAAAACCAGATAGTGAACCAACAGTCAATTTGGTGCTTCTATTGAGGCTATCATAGCTGGGATTTCTCGTGTCGGCCCCCATAAAAGCTTGATTATTGTATTATTTTCTATTCATCCGCTAACGACAATTCCTCTTTTTTATATCGGAAACTTAATTTATTCCCCGATATTTGGTTCTTTCGGCTGTCGCCTTGTCAACTTGAAACTATCATATCACGGTGTCGTTATACTCGTAGATTCGCGCATACATCGAATGTCGTTCGCCCGTTACAATGGCGCCATATCTCTATCATACAGAGCAAATCAGTTATGTCGACTGGCTGGCCGGCCGGAGCCCTGCAGATTGTGTTGCACTAGCTCTTATTGCTGCTGCTACTATAGGCTGGCTAACATCGGTCATTTCATGCCTCATATTTCTGGCCGCGTCTTCTGTTTGAGTGCCCTCTCGTCTTCACCACCATCTGTAAATCCACCACGGCTGCGGCCGTCGTCGCTGTTTAGACTCAACGCCACGACAGCGGCAGCGACGACGAGCACATCAGCAGCAACCGAAACAAGTATCGCGCCCGCCCAAAACTATAGCCTATGGCTAGCCATGGGCTTGTCTCTTACGACGTGCATCTTTGGTGCGAGCGCGCCATCTTGTTAGCTGGGCGGTGCCAGGGCGGGTTGAAGGCGGAGTTACGAGGTGTCGGCCGGGCCAGTGGGTCTGGATTTCTCGGACGACGGCTCGAGTGAATCGCCGTCGGGTGGAAAGGCTCGGAGAGGAGACCGTTTCTCGATCGGGTAGCCCCTAATTCCGACGAGGTTTGGTTGCCTTGCCTCCAGCAGCGTCTTGCTGGCATCGAGGATCGCTCTGGACGACGTCAGGACGACAAAGCGATGGCCGCTTGCGGCACAGGCGACACACGAAGCCTTCGCCTCGGCTGGGGCTGACTTGGGGGCTGCTCACCGGTTGTGAGCCTGTTAAAATTTAGGTTTATGCTTTCAGTTTTGTTTGTTTGGTGTGGTGGTATTCTGTGGCCATCGTTCCGACAGCGATCGCAGCGTCAGAAGCACTACGAAGATATTAACGGCGACGAAAAAATCGAAGTCAGAAACCATAAAAACGAAAAAAGAACAACCGAGAGAGTGTATGCCATGCAATAATAGTGTGCTGTGCGTGCAAATGTTACCAATCACCGCCACGAGGCATCATAAAGGATATAAGCAGTTTGTAGGTGAAGTAAGTGAATCCCGAATCTGTGATTGTCGTTGGAAAATGTGTAGCACCAATATCTCTCCTATGCATATAGAGAAGTGATGTGACCCGCTAATACAACACCACGGTCTGCTATAGTACAGACAACTCAGACTCAATGTAGAGCTGTAGTCGCCGAATTACCCTTTCATAAGAATTAATTGCAAGAATCGTGTGGCCCCTGAGGGGACTGGCAAGTCATATCAAGTAAGATACAGACAGTTGTATATACGTTGTTTGTCGAAAAACAACAAAACGCATAAGATAAACAAAATGCTGGTTCCGCAAGATATGACTGGGGCCCAATCGCGACTCCTGTACCAGCTGAACAAGTTCTACGCGGATCGAGTTCAGTCCCGGAAAATCGGCATCGCGAAAACTCTGCGCGAAGTGTGCCGAGTTGTGCAAGATGTTCTAAAAGAGGTCGAGGTACAGGAACCCCGGTTTGTAAGCTCGCTTACCGAAACAGGACACGGCCGCTATGAAGGGATCGATGTTATTTCACCCACGGAGTTCGAAGTTATCCTCTACCTGAACCAAATGGGGGTGTTCAACTTCGTGGACGACGGGTCGCTCCCTGGGTGCGCCGTTCTCAAGTTGTCCGACGGTCGGAAGCGATCCATGTCACTATGGGTCGAGTTCATCACAGCGTCGGGTTATTTATCCGCGCGTAAGATACGCTCCCGTTTTCAGACACTTGTCGCTCAGGCGTGTGACAAGTCAGCGTACCGGGACTGCGTCAAGATGATCTCAGACACGACCGAAGTCAAGTTGAGGATCAGGGAGCGCTACGTCGTCCAGATTACACCAGCGTTTCGCTGCGCTGGCTTGTGGCCGCGTTCAGCGACGCATTGGCCCCTACCGCATGTGCCCTGGCCAGGACCAGCAGTTGTAACCGAGGTGAAGGCTGAGGGCTTCGATCTCCTCTCGAAAGAGTGCGTCACGCTGCAAGGCAAGCAATCGTCGATGGAGGGCGACGCCTGGGTACTGTCGTTCCTCGACGCCGAAAACAGGCTTTTGAACTCTGGGGGCTGCCGGAGACGCTGTCTCAGTCTGCTCAAAACCCTTCGCGATAGACACCTTGATCTACCGGGCAACCCCGTAACCTCGTATCACCTCAAAACCCTGTTACTTTACGAGTGCGAGAAGCACCCTAGAGATCAGGACTGGGAGGAAACGTGTCTCGGGGACCGCATCAACGGCATTCTACTGCAACTGATTTCGTGCTTGCAATGCCGACGTTGCCCCCATTACTTCCTACCGCACCTTGATTTGTTTAAAGGCAAATCAACGTCGGCCCTCGAAAGCGCTGCAAAGCGTGCCTGGCGCTTGACCAGAGAACTGCTGACCAATCCCCGTTCTCTAGAAGAACTATAAATATTTGCGCTGTTTTGTTCTGTTGTGCGATACGGCAAAAAGGAGTCGTCAAACACTAAAACATAACAGGCAACTGATGTTTACCATCTACACTGCAGTCACGTATCAATCAGTTAGTATTGCTCATGCAGCAACAGCGGCAGCAGTATGATGACGGTCTAGGCTCGAGTAAGGGAAAAACATTGCTGCTGCTGCTGCTGATAGGAGGACTGCCCTGTCCTATGTAATGCTGGTACGATAATCGTCCGACATGTCACTGTTGCCAGCGTCTGCAACTCCGACCGGTTCAACCCTGAGCTGGTGCGGTAGTCACGCTTTGGTAAGGTCACGTAGCAGCAGCATTACTGTGTGCTCCCGTGAGGCCGATAGCGGCGATGTTCCCAACAGACTCAGCAAAACGAATCCGCCAGCAAAAAGCTCGTTAGGCCTAGACCGCTGCCTGCGCAGTTTCAATTCACCATTCCGTAGTACGAAACTATTAGGCCTACCGGATTCCATGTACGCCCTACGGTGTACTCTCTACGCCACCAGTCGGAGCGAAAATAGTCTTTGATGATGCAAGTCGACAGAATACCGTTCTAGCACAGAATATGGAACGCGGTGGAACCACCGCTAATTCAGGTGGTCGAAGCTGAATTTTTCAATCAGCTAGAAAGAGACAGGGCATACCAAGCATTTTTAATTAAAAAAATTACACTATAGCTCGAGAAGAATCAGCAACACTGGTCCGAGCAAAGCTGGCGGTGATGAAAGACGGATCTGTGATGTTGGAAACCGGCACGTTAGATACACACTGGAAGTATGATGATACCCTAATTACCATAGTGCTATTCTAGACTGGAATTATGCAGGATCTCGAAAAACAACTTAAACCGATTTTCTAATTCGGTTTTTTTCTAAAGGTTTTTCTAATTCTACTATTTGTTAACAAACACTTCCCGTGAGTTGAGTAATATAATAATAATAAGTGCAACTGATAGAAACGCATATTAAAAGTAGTAAAATGATCGCATAAAAAATAATAAAACTTGGATAATTTCAATTTCAAAGATGACAAAAGGTTGTTCAACCTAAGATCTTTCATTGTACTAAACTAGCGGCTACTCTAACAAATGATATAGAATTATAAGTAATATTTATTTAATAATAAGTATTTATTTACACTATTATCTATACGCATACGTAATACGGTCTTTGCGTGTCGAGATAGGTATGTTGAAAAAAAAACCGAGAAACTTAACGTTGATGATACGAATGGCCATAGTTGATTACAAAGGACATATATATATACATATATATATGTACTTGCTCAAAGGAGGGACACTCCGTTGCGAGCTGCAAACGAAAATATCGTTAAATGTCTTGGATGACCAAGAGGCTTTTCTCTGAATTATCCTTTTCGGGCGAATCTCACGAATTCGCCCACACTGAGCCCGCAATTTTCCCACTAGAATACTGAAACACTTATCTCAGTTTGCTTTTAACCAAAAGATCTGTCATCTGTTAAACAGGCCCACGTGGTTAAATACGGTCGAGATACGGTGGCATACATTTACAGGATAGCTTTCTAATCAGCGCGAAAAACAATGATTCTTTATCGTTGAGCAACGCTTTGGTTTAAACAGTTAAAGAAATTGCTGACTCAGTAAGGGACGTTCATTGAACTAAGTTACTTTATCTACGAGAGCTTCACTGTTCGTTTTTTATTATAAAAATACACGTATAATGTAATAACGAGCTATGCGTATTCGGCTGACTCATATAAAATCGTGTTGCTTTGTTGCCTTCCCAGTTATTCAGACGCAGACACTGCAAAATTTGAAACGAAAATGAATCTGATAGGCACCTTGTCAGTTTGAAGTGCGGTGGACAAGAATATGAAGAGTATGTGATCATCCAAACATGAGTGTTGAAGTTCCGAAGCATCGACAGCCTGAAAGTTAGTAACGCGTGACTTCTTCCGGTAGGCGTACCCGAGAAGAGGCCAATTCGCGAACTCATTATACTGATGGCTACAGACTTAATGGAACTCTTCTAATTTTATATTATTTCCCATAAGTAATAACATCACGTACATAATTATAGTATAATAATGAAGATATCACCTTTGGCTGGCACAATGAGATGTGGACTTCTATGCCGTAATCGAAATGGTAAACACTCGTTAACAAATCGTAAATGATAAACCTACCGTATGGTAAAAAGACGTTACACTAGACCTCAAAACTAGCATGTATAGATATTTGTTCAAGCTGCAGCTCTTAAATTAAAAAACAAACCAGATATCGTGTGGTAGGTGATCGACAAAATGTGATGTCTTTATATGCAAATTTTAATGGCCACAACCCGAGGTTGGATTCAGGAGAGCATTCTGGTGATGATCAATGCTGTGAAGGTCGTTGCTAATCTCGTCTTAGCCAGGAAGAAAAAAGGACAAAAGCAACTTATATTATTATGAGGTATTTCGGCATGAAAAGATGCGAGCAATTATGTGAGAATTATATGTTAAGATTTTCGATAGAGCAAAAAATTAATTTGTCACTATCATTACTAAAATTGCGGTTAACTTTATTATTATTATTATTTGTTCTAAGAAAAGGGAGCATGCAGTAGTTTAGGGGGCGAAAGGGTATGGGCGCGCTTATTAAAACAACAACAACAACAACAACAACACCAACAACAACACCAACAACAACAACAACAACAACACCAACACCATGCGACTGACGGTTTATCCAGAAGCACGATCAAAGCATGTGTATGCGACATATCGCATTGGAAAAAGATCAGACTTATCTCGCTTTTTGATTTATCTTACCTTCGCCTACCAGCCTTAAAAAGGCAAAGATGGGAATAGAAATGGCTAGTTCTTTCGTTTCGTTTTCGGCTTTTTAGTGTCGAAATGTGCCATGCTAACCTCGAAGTCCATGCTAAACATAATTTAATCTGGTTGATTCTGCTGGTACTGAAGTATAGCATCTACTACATTATCTGTTTTGGTTTACTGTTTTTAAAAGTAGAAATTATACAGTGGACGAATAATCGTAAATTATACGAAAATCGGCAATATGCTCTCATAAGAAATAAGTGCTTCGTGTTATATGCGGGCTTCAATTTGGCCTGTAAGGTAAGTTAGTCATCAAAATCTGCTATAATAACGTCGTTGCTGTGACATAGTGGCATATGTAAAGGATTTCGATTTTTCAGCGGTTCCCACTTGCGTATACATGCTATGGTCGAATGTCGAACAAGCTGCTCCATTCAGTTCCAGATCAGGTTCAGAGTTCTAGAACAAGACTATTAATATTCCCGGTGTAATATATGACATTAATCGTCATCCAGTATTTTGGCCTCAGTTATCGGCCTGGCCCTAGTGGGCCCGGTATAAGCAGGTATTTGCCGAAAATATTGTTTTGGTGACTTGTGCAACGTGTTACTGCGGTCGTCTTGTAAGCCATTTTGGCCGCAAGTAATCTGGAAAGACGTGTGGTCCGCGTAAAGACACTGAGTTAGCTTTTGTAGCTAATTATTTTCCAGTTTCAAATCTATCGAACGTAGTTCCAGATACGCGTCGGACTTGTAAACCCGCTATAGTTCAGCGTATATTTCTTTTATGACCCTCCCATCGCAATTTTGAGGTTTCTTAGCTATGAATTACCGTTATACAAATAAATACGTTCGGAAGGGTGCTTCGGTAAGGGAACTGACAGGGGGTAAGGGAAGACCTAAGGTGTTATGCTAAAGCTTACAGGTATTAAGTTTACATCGACTGTCACTTTCTGATTTTGCAGGACCCGAACTGGTTCAAAGCAAAACATGCTGATGGTCGCGAGGGTCTCGTACCACTGAACTATTTGATGAAGCGAGGCGATGGTCGAGCCGGTCTCATGCTCTGGTTTCACGGAAAGATCTGCCGCGAGGAGGCGGAACGACTCCTGCTTCAGAATCCGTCTGACGGGGCTTTCCTCGTTCGCGAGAGCACCAACTACCCTGGGGATTACACACTTTGTGTGTGCTTCAACAACAAAGTCGAACACTATCGGTAGGCAAAAAACTACTTTCTGTTACTATATATGTACACTGCATAGGCCTTTACGGGCTCCACGTCTAGATAGCGATCATAATATTACAAGACAATTTTTTATTGCTTATAATGGAAAAACATATGATTAATGAATCATATACATGTATGTTACGTACATGTTAATGTTATGCATATTCTCAGGATAATTACACAAGACGATCTTGGTGGGTTGACTATCGACGAAGAGGAGTACTTTGGTACGTTATCGCAGCTCGTCGAACATTATGAGATGGACGCGGACGGATTGTGTACGCGACTTACGCACGCGTTGCCCAAGAAGGGTGTTTCGTGTAGTAATGGCACGGCGGATAAACGTGCGTTTGAAATGACCGGCTGGCTGATCAAGTCTCAAGATATCTGTATCATTGAGAGCATCGGTACGTGCTATATCGTCTACCATTGATAGTGAAAAAGTTTGTCTGTCCATTGATAATTTTTTTACTCACTTAGTTCAAGATATCCATCTAATGAGAAAAACATTGTATTTGTTGTTGTTTCAGGCAAGGGCGAGTTCGGCGACGTACAGTTGGGTATGTACAAGGGGAATAAGGTTGCCGTAAAAACGGTCGAGTCGCCCGAGTCACGTCTAGCAGGAGGAGGAGGAGGAGGCGGTGCTGGGTCAAACCCACTCGTGCTTGAGGCTCAAATGATGACGTCGTTAAGGCACCGTAATCTCGTCCAGCTGTTAGGCCTTGTTATGGAGGCCGATGGACTAGTACAGATAGTTACGGAGTATATGGCTAAGGGTTCATTGGTAGACTATCTCCGCTCACGGGGCAGACTTCATGTTACTCGTAGGGACCAGATTCATTTTGCTCGTGATACATGTGCGGGTATGGCGTACCTCGAAAGCCGGCATGTCGTACATCGTGATTTGGCTGCTAGAAATGTTCTCATCTCGGATGATGGAGTGGCAAAAGTAAGCGATTTCGGACTAGCCAAAAGTCAAGATGCTGATAACCCCGACGGTAAGTAAACAAAATTTCAGTACAATCAATCGAATCATCTAATACTTGCATTTGTCAATGTTGCCCTCGATTTTTAACGGCGGAGAAAAACCAATGAATAGAGATGGTTGACTTTTTTCAGTTGGCAAGTTCCCAATTAAGTGGACAGCACCAGAAGCGCTTAAGACGAATCTATTTTCAAATAAGACGGACATGTGGTCGTTCGGGATTCTCCTCTGGGAAATCTACTCATTTGGCCGAGTGCCCTACCCCCGCATACCGTTAGCAGAAGTTGTACGTCACGTTGATAAAGGTACATGTTTTTGTAGATGTTTTCCTTTTTTTCATTATCACGGAGTATCGTTCCTACGATCGCTGCTAATGAATAAATGTTTTCAGTTTTACGTTCGGTATTGCCTCTGAGCATTGCTTCAGATCTACGGCTACTGTCGAGTGGTACGAGCATTATTTTGCTGATGATCACTCTGAAGTGAATTCGTAACAATAACTTGTGAACCGTCACGTTATCCATTATCGCTAAACCTTAACGACATTCGCATTTGCATTAAAATATTGATTGGATTTTGGATTTTCACCAATTGATGATTGATTACGACTGAATTGTTCAGGCTACCGAATGGAAGCGCCCGAAGGTTGTCCATCAGAAATATATAATTTGATGCAACGAGCGTGGCATCGAGAGCCTGAAGAACGGCCGACCTTCACCTGGATGCTCGGAAAGCTCGAACAGCTGCAGCGAGAAACAACGTCGAACGCGAACTCAACAACGTCTTCTGGAACAGCTGCTAACAACAACTGTAACAATTCAACGGCTGTCACAGCAGCTGGCGCCGGTGGAGGAAGCTCATAACAATCGAGAAATGACTCGCTTATGCAGACCGCGGTCTAAAACGGCGAGTCCTCCTCGACTCCTTCGTAGACAACAATAATGAGAATAATATCATTTATGAAGACAATGATGCTAGCCGCATTTTGCAACGTCGCCAACGAGTGACTCGCACTGACTGAACTAACTAATCCATCCTGTAACGAGATACGTATACCATACTGATTAATTTAGCGCCTGCAACCCCAGAGAAGTTGTAGGTACAACTGAGGGCTCAAACTCTTCATTGTATGATTTGTGTTTGGGTCTGCACTATTACCTCCTTCATGTTGCCCATAGATACCTCAAGAGCAAGTGTACTCATTATAGGAGGCATCTCGAAACCCGAGAACGGCTCATTGATTAAATCGCCTCAGCTAATGACGGTGACGGCAGCACTCGTTGAATCATTATTATGATATTACCATATTCACTATTATACAGTACTATTCCTACCCTGTTAATTAATACGGTTTAAGTTAATTATTACGCTTACTGTGATGCTACTTTTGGAACCCGAAGAAGGACAAGATTATCATATTAGTTGGTCAGAAATGCTGTTAAGCATGTAGTTCTCTGTCCGTTTGCTCCATGCTTGTAATTACACTGTAAATCCTCTCAGAGTCGATTTTCTTCCTAAACAAATTCCCATAAATAATAAAATGTACGCATAAGGAAGAGAACAGTCACTATTTAGTTGTAGACACTGCTTTCCTACACGCCTATTTAAAATAATTATCACGCTGAGGAGCTTAGATGCTCTTTGCATCACCAAAAGGTAGGACGTTGCGGAATGCGGGTCATCTTCTTAGATCATGTCGGGAAGATGAGAAAAGACTGAGAAAACGAGGAAATCATAATTATTAAGGTATTAATGTTTACTATTATACAGAAGACCTTGAAAACTAGTTAAGGTCAAATGTTGGCAGAGGCACAAAATAGGACGAAGCGTTGACTCCGCTGGATCAGCTGGCATTATAAGTACTGACTAAAATGAAAAAAGGCCCATTCCAGTGATATTTCGGTCTTTGAAGGTCTTTGAAGCGATGAGTGCGGCCAGATAGCATCTACCTAAGTGCAATAGCATCGTTGTTATTATCGTCAATGAATATTAATAATTACTCGACCTGTCTGGTATTCGTATAAGTAATATATAATGGTTATTTCATTATTTTTCGCCGACGTGTCGGCTGGAAACACTATAGAAATTTGTCAGATATAAAAACAGTATTCTAATGGTAAAATTTGTCAATTGAGGAGAAAATAAGAGCAACGGTGCTGTTGTAATTAGTTTGTCGTTTGAGCAAAACCACCACAGCATATTCTACTAGCAGCTGGATTTATCAACGAGAGATGAAGTACGAGGGTTATTCGTTCATTATAACCATCGAAGATTATGTAAATACTATGTATATTATTAATCACAGCAATGCTCGGAACGGTAAAGTGACCATGTTGACAAGAAAATAAACCGTGGCCTGTTGTGTCGTACTATTTTTATCCGATGCACCCTGACTGGTGGCCTGCTATACGGTAGATCTTGTTAACAGATTAGCTTCATCATCATTTTAATCGTTCAGAAAGGTGATGATTACACTTTACGATTTCGTGTCACCGCATTGTTTAAGGTAGCAAGGTGTCCGGCAACAAGTCTGCAATGGTTCTTTTTTGTGGAGAGCAAAGTTATACAGCGAAACGATTGACTCAACAAAGGACTGCCAAAGCAAGAAATTAGACAAATCAGGGACTCCCGTTAATTGGGCACCAGCTTTGATGTAGGATTTTACT